GCCTGTTAGTTAAACACAGCTGAAAGCATGTAATAATACACCTTCCTGGGTCTGAAAAATCTCAATGTATTTATAAAGAATTAAAAGCTGATGGATTCTTTTAACTCAATTAGAAAACTGACTAGAAAGTAATGTAATAAATAGAATTTAGGCATCATAAATTAAGGAAAACATCTCCACTTCCATGGATCTAACTTTAAATATGTTGTTGAAACTAAAAGGATCAAAAAAAAGGAAAATTTTACTTTTTATTATTTTGTAAGCTATGAACCTTTACTTTTCTCAGGGAGATTAAAATGTACTTTCACATTTTCTAAGACTTTAAAAAATATGATTGTAAATAAGCATTCAAAAACATGAAATTAGTGTATTTACAATGACATATAGGTACCATTATTCTAAAGGAATTTTACTCAAGTTTCACTCAGACACATTAATAACTGTTAGTTATACTTAATTTATTTTTATCAAGTTCTTCTGCAGGTGCAGTTGCATTTGTTAGTGGTGGAAAGTGGTGAGTATGACTAGGAGTATCTATAGGAGATACTTGCAGTTTGTACGAATAGGTTAAATTCCTTTTACATAGTGATAACAAAACAATCATAGTCTCATAACATTAAGTTTAAAGCCCAATAAAGACTATTTAATCATCTGACTTCTCATATATCACATCCCTTTAAACTTTTTTTTCAGTTACACCTATAATGAATTCAAACAATCATGCTTTAAAAAACATATCTACAAGAAAGACCTGAAGAGATATGTTGGGTGGATCATTCCTTACTTATGCTAGTGCAAGCCAGGAGGAAAGCAGGACTATGAAGGGCAGGCAGCCAGCTGTGAGGGAGAGGGAAACCAAGAACAGCACCGATGGCTGCCTCTGCTGGGGATTCTATTTTATTTCTATCACCAAAGCCATTCCAATTCTACCACATTACTTTACAATTAATTGACCTCAACTTTAAACCTTTCTGCCAAAGTTCTCATTTAAATTATTTCTGAATTCAACTCAGTCATTCTCTATTCTTTCCTTTTTTCAGGGTAGAGGTCTTCCAGATCTGTGAAATTTAGCTGGTATTCCGGGAAAGATCCAGAGAGATTAATTACAAATTAATACAATTGGGCTATGAGTGCAATAGGATAGCTTTAAAAAATACCCAATCAAATACCTTTTGTGCTCATGTCATTTAGGTTGGATTATGTATAATGTTTATTCCTGATAGACATTTTATTCATTTACTAATGGATTAGGAAGTAGTTCATCATTCATAAAAAACGCAAATACAATGCCCCACTTGCTTAAAAGTATAGAGCAAAATAATATTTATTGGACATTTGTTTGTTTTCTACATCACTACTGACACCACTGTGAGGGAATGTTTACAATTCCCAATCTAATGCTCTTGCATTACTACAGTAATGTAGTTCTTGTACCATAATTGCTCAGTTACGGCAGCTAGATATGTTCTACAAATTTGAGGTACTCTACAAAGAAGTTATCTGCAAGTATGGGTTAATTACTTGAATTGATAGTCAGAAGTATTCTGGTGCAAAAAGAATAATACATGATAATATAACCATAGCAGAAGGTCATAATGACGGCTCAGCTCCCTGTCATTCAGAAAGGGAAAAGGTGACCAAATGTAGTATTTTTTTTTTGAAAAAGAGTACCCACAGCAACCTTCTCTCATTTCACCACTTTGAAGAGTTAACTTTTTTCTCCTGCTTACTGGAGTGATGACATGTCCTACCAATAGACAAGATGGGTTCAGAAGCAGCACAATATTTTAATAATGCAAATAAGGCACTTTTTATTTTATAACTATTTTTACCTATCAATTCTCATACAACTTTTCTTTCCTTTTTGCTTTCAAAAATAATTTGTTAAGACAACTTTAGGTCATGGTTTCTCATTGTGTGAATATGGTGAACTAGGTAGTTTGCAAATGTGTGTCAGGTTGTAGGCCTTAGAGTTTAAAACTGCTAATATTAAACATCTTGCTGAATACATGAGTCCACATGCTTCGTCGGATCTATTCACCACATAGGATGATGAAAAAAGACAACAGAGAAAAAGCTATTAGTTCAGTAAGAGGAATCAAGGATGTACTTGTCCTTATAAAGAGGAACAGCAGCAGCTAATGAGTTATGATAGCTGATAAAAGCAATTGGTGACCAGAGCTGATCTCCACGTGAGAAATTTGCACTGATGTCAGGATAGTCAGAGAAATAAGGGGACAAAGGTAATCTTTTTGCCCTCAACAAAGAAAAGACAGCATAACAAAGTGTTATTACAATCATAACATCTTCCAGATTCTGCCTAAGAACAAAGTCCTTGTCCAGATGATGAAGGATCACATGAAGTTAAAGGGCGGATTCAGAGAGAAGAAAGGCGCATATGACCTAATCACAACCATGTGTAACATCACTGATAAAAGGAGAACAGTGCAATCCTGCATTGATCATGCATTCAGCTCCTCAAAAAAATTTTGACACCATCTGACTTGACCAGTTCTAGCTTTCCAGATGTAGGAACTAACCCATCTCATTGAACTCATTGCAAGTTTCTGTCAGCAGTCAGAGAGAAGAGTGTGAGCAGCAGCAACACATTGCAGAAACTGGTTTTCTATTAGCCAGAGGATGAGACAAGGATTCAGCAAGCAATTGTCCTAGAACAATCGTGGGATATACTTGGAAGAACAGAAATGACTGAACCTGGCATAGTTTGTCACCTCTAAAACAACTTCAGATGAACCGGTGACATAACAGACTTTGCTTCTAATACTTTTCCAAAAAAATGAAATTGAAGTAAATAAAAAATATGTTAGTGGGGAACATAGCTTAGCCCTAAGTGATGGACATGAAACGAAATTAAATGAGCATGTTCGTTGGCTAATCAAAACAGGAGACAGGCAGAAATCCCTATTAATATTCTAGTTGTACACAGAATGAATGACTGTAATTGTAAAAGACCAGAAACATTTCCTTAATGAATCTTCACTCATTTTTCCTTTTCCATTATTTGTACAGAATACAATAGAAAATTTTTATATTTTTATAAAAGATTAAGAATACCTAATTTTGTGGTATTTTGACATCTTTAATTGCTTATATCTTTGACTTCCGAAAATAGAAGGGTTTGGGTTTTTTTTCCCGACCTGTTAATGGATGTTAATAACAGGAAGTTAACTGCTGCTTAGAGGACATCTTCAGCATATGAAATATGAAATTGCTGGTGGAACTTCAAATGTAGTTATATCTGGAGTTTACAAAATTTCAGTGATAGTGTCATAAGAAATAAATTGATTTATCTTATTTTGTTCTCACATTCATAATTTAATTTAATCGATCATTTCATTCTAATGGTCAAGGACTAATAGTGAAGAAGGCTAATTGCATTTTGCGTGACATACCGGGCCACCAAGACTTCTGGCATGATCTCTTTTTTTCCCCAGGTCCTCTTCCCAACTTGGTGGTTATTCAATTTGGTGTGAGGCATCTTCAGTGGGCTCTTCTTACAGGACCATGTGCTCCAGAGTGCTATCCATGTCATTCTCTGGATGTGGGATGGATTTTTCTGTAGATATCAGTAGATGTTTCTCCACTCCTTTACACAGCATAGTCTGTTCTTGGAAGGGCTGGTTCCAAGTGTAGGGAGAAAGTAAAAAACTTCCTTTCTTTAGGCAAACCACGACATTTTTCACACAAGTGGATGAAATAAGTGTTGTAGGGGAGAGCACTACCCATGCAGAGCCTGAAATTCAGGATAGAGCTGTGAGCTCAATTTCACTCTCTTCTGGTTGTCTTGCCCTTCACATATGAGTTTAAGGAGATGGTGCTACCACTTTCTGACTGTGGAACTTTGGTAATAGTTCAGAAATTTTCTGGGAATACAGAAATATATGAAATACTTCACTAAGCTCTCCTACCTGAGGTAGGAGAACTTTGTCTCCCACCCATTTGTAGTCTTGACATATGGGAGCTGAAAAGCTAGGGGAGTAGGGTATAATTGAAAGTGCCTGAGGCCTCTGTTGAAAAAATTACAGTATCAATCACAGAATGCAGTATGCTTTGATTGTTGTTTTTAACTGTACTGCATTGTGCATTGGCTTTGATGATCTACAATTCTAAGAATTCAGTGTAAAAATGAGATTATCTATTATGAAATGTGTCTAAAACCAGGGAATTAATTCATGAAGTATTTCAATTCATTCTAAATCAACATGATTTGTGGGTAGGAAGTAAATATGAATAAAATATGACGTTTGAAATCTTCATTAAAAAGCATATTTTTAACCTGTTCTCAAATTAAGAATAATTTTCCTTTGGTTACCTTTGAGGACTCATGGGATATCAGGAATGTCACTGGTGAAATTTGAAAATTCATAGTAGTTATATTAAAACATTATATTATATAATTGACTAAACAATAAAAAGACACAGTATTGTGGAGGGTAAAATTTGTTTTCTACTTGAGGGACTATAATTTCCCAAGAAAAAGACATCATATATTTTCCTGCTCTAGTTGCAGACTTAACTACCAAGGCATGAATCCTATGAGACAGAAAAGAAATACTTTAAATTTTATTCACCTTTCTCAGACACGGTAGCTTATACTAGTATATCCTATTGATCCAGCACTATCATATAATCATAGAATTATAGAATGGTTTGGGTTGGAAGGAAGTGAGCTCTAAAGGTCATCTAGTTCAACTCCCCTGCACTGAGCAGGGACACCTTCAATAAAATCAGATTGCTCAGAGCCC